GATAATAAGAAGCCAAGAGCCAAAATTTAACATTGAATTTATTGCATATATAAACCATTATACGCATTAAATTAACTATCATTATACATAATAATATAAAGTGTCACTTTATTAATCATCATTATGTATATGAATTCCTTTCGTAGTATGTATTTATATATGTGTCTATGTTAATTCGTATTTTTTTAAATATTATTTATTATATCAATATTTATGTGTATATTTGCTTTATACCGCCGTTCGCGTTTTTCTTTTTTCCCAAAGGTTGACTGTGCGAGAATGCTATTAGCATTAAGTCCGCCTTTTGTAACTCTCTCTTTTATTTTGGTCAATGAAGTTTAAAATAATAATAGTTTTATTTGATAATCAGTGAGAGAACGGCTGACATCACAATTTTTGTTGTCAGCCGTTGGGTTTGATTTGAACGTGGAACAACTAATATGATTTGATCTTTTCAACTTCCCGTTTGCTATTGTTGGGTGTGCCGAGTTGGTTTTCTCTGTCTGTCAGCGTTTCTATAAAATATTTGATCAAAAATATTGCCATTCTTCCGAAAATATCAAAAAAGACTCGACAACGTTTGCAACAAGATCTAATAATAGCCATTATACTCAGATTACACAGTTGTCTTGTTATGATGTGGCGCCTTGTTATGACTCAATCTACGGGACATATCTAAGATCCAGGAATTGAATCCATAACAAATCGTCTTTAATGTAGACAGGTTATTTAAGAAAAGAAGTCTCACTTCAGATGTGTGGTCCGTGCACACATTTTTTTAAAATAAATATTCCTTGTTAACCTACATAATGTTTGTTTTTGGAATGTGAGACAATTTGCGATAGTTGTACAGAAGCATTGCGGACCCACTATACCACTGGCCAAACCTCTGATGGCATGGTGGGTCTGAAACTATATCACTGAGAAAATAGTGATGTGGTACAATAGTTTATTACAAATAAAAATGTCACATACATAATCTTATTACGCAGTTCGCCATTAACTATCATGTTCACGACATGACCCACTGATATTTCTCTGTTTATCAACTGCATAATATGTCCTACTTAGAGTTATAAAATCATTACTTTTTTACTTTTTGGTTATTGCGCCGTGTTTGAGGAATCGTCGTTTTCTTATATATATCTTGCAATACAATAAATAATTGCATCAACGTTTTGGTATTCTTCTTATAAAATTTATCTATTCTCGAATTTAAGAATGAACAGATTCTAGAACATTTGATGTGCGATGGCGTTTTCCAAACATGCTAAATATTTTAGGTAATTGAAATTTAAACCAAAACGTTTCGATAAAAATTATAAACTTTCTGTTTTTTATATTCAAATCCTTGTACAATGCGATTCGATGCGAACTAAGTAATAAGTCCGCTATAGCAGTCAATTCAAACCAGTTGGGTAGAGTGAGCAAAAAAGTTTTTCTTTAATAAAACTTATTTACCAAGATTAAGTGAGCAAGATAATAACAGATTTTTAATAATATTTATTTATCTTAATCTTAAAAGAAAAAACATAAATAAGAATTTAGCTCTATAATTCCGCTCATTTCTGCACTACCGTCGGAGTAGTCACCATCATCGTCATCAACATCACTGCTGTTTTCGGCTATAAAATAAAATATTGATTATTATATATTATATATAGTTTTAAAACGGCAACTTTATTTTTCTTCGAAAACAATGCAATAAAATAGTTTTGCAGTTATTTGACAGATGTTTAAATATTATGTCAGCTACTGAAATCTCGTTCTCTCCCAGTTACCCGAGGTTGTTCCCCAGGGCTCCTTGCTGGGACAGATTTTGTTTATTCTGTATAGTGCAGATATGATCGACTGTATACAGGAATGTAAATATCATTTGTATAAAGTTGATGTGCAGCTGAACTACTCCTTTAAGCCAAGTGACATCAACAGTGCTGTAGATACAGTAAAAAAAGACCTTGCAAGAATATCTGGTTGGTGTCAGTCAAACTACCTAGTACTAAATCCTCTGAAATCTAAACTTTTACTCACAGGCACCAAAAGCAATATTAGTAAAATAGATCCAAATCTGCTAAATATTCACATGGACGGGATAACCATAGAACGAGTAACACTAGTCACTCGGCAAGGAGCGTGGGCTTGACTTTGGACAGTCAACTCAATTTTAAGAATCATATCGTGGAGTGTGCGGGTAGCTGTTTTTCTAGATTGAAGCTGTTATACAAAATAAGACAATAATTACTAGAAAAACTGAGAGTCACGCTATGCGAGGCATTGGTCTTGTCCAAATCCAATCTCATATCAAAACACACGTTGAAGATTAATTTGAAGCATCACTTGCTGAAATTACAATGCATGCAATAATTTTGAAACACATAATCAATATGTATATAATTATTATAGGAGCTCGATGGCGTGGGTGTTTAGCACGTTCGGCTGCAATCGTTGAAGTTAAGCAACTTTCGCAGTAGTCGGTCATTGGATGGGTGACCAAAAATCTTCTATCTCGAGTTCCTCCTTCGGAAGGCATGTTAAGCCGTTGGTTCCGGCTGCATCTGCAGTCCTTAGCACCCGCCAATCCACACTGAGCCCGCATGGTGGGTCAGGGCCCAATCTCCCTATTCCATCCATAGGGAAGGCCTATGCCACAACAGTAGGGATATTAAAAGGCTGATGATGATGATGAGATATTTTATTATATGTATAGATTCTATTCTGAAGAAGCGCAAAGGGTATTTGGGACATAATCATATAAAATAAAATTATATAACCTCAATGATAAAAAAGACATGTTTATGACATAGAAGATATGCGCTGTAACGTGAAAAACCGGGTAAGTGGGGTAAATAAAAATAAGACTCCGATTATAACTCCATTTATTGGTAATCTCCGTATTTTAATGTTAAGGTTAGGGTAAATTACGTTAAGTTAAGGTTAGTTATATTTAAGTTAAGTTTAAAACAATATTTATGAAACGGAGTGGAATTAGCCGCTGGCTGGAGCCGCACGGTCACGCAAATAAAACGGTCGTTACAATTAAAATAGGTAGGTAAAAAAAACAGGTCGTGGCGCATTTGGTCGATAACGCTTGGTATGTTAAAAGTTAAAGTTAATTTTGGTAAAAAAAGAAATGGTTATCTGTAGGTCCCGGGTAGGCAGCACGAAGAGTAGTCTGCGTACAGAGTGCAGTCCAAACTCGTCGGGGTAAGTAGATGAGTTGGGGTAAGCAGGGGCTTCGTCAGCTGCTTAGGACTGGAGAGTCCTTCTGGGGTAGCTACAGGTTATGGGACGTTGCCTGGGTAGCAGGACGTCAGGGTAACATTGCAGTATAATATGGCAATAACTTGCAGCATAGCATTGCACCATAACATAGCATTGCACCATAACATTGCACCTCCTGTCGGAGGCGTTGAAGACAGCAAGTATAATATGATTTAATGGTTTATTCTTCCATGTTATTATCAATTATTAAAACGTGTGACGATTTCTCATGTGAAGCCGGCACATGTTGGATTTATATAAATTTCTGTAAATAGGGGTTCCTTCTGCTTCGCCAAAAAGCGAAACGTGGAACGTGTTCGAGAAAAAAAATGTAAAAATGACTTTTTTTTCTTAAAAGTTAATGGCGTTGGCATATTAATAAATAAAGGCGGCGTTATACACAGTCGGTGTGCGAAGTCTATGAACAGTGCGCTGGAGCACAACGTGCCGGTGAGTGATATAGGACGGAGGCTTTTTGTCCTTTTCTAACCGTGTAATTAATAAATTATAAAAATAAATTTTATGCTGAGATTTTATGCATTAGAGCAAAAATTTAGGGCTACAGCGTACACGCTGTCAAGCCAAGAATACAGGCCAATTACACCGTTTATCATTGCATATCATTGGAGCATAACATTTGAAGTTGGAACATTGTTGTAACAGATTTTAAACCCAAATACTATATGAAGTATATGTAAAGAAAGCACTATTAGGCTTGTGATATGGGATACTAGGATAACGGATAGAATACATATACTGTACATATATAAATATATTTATATAGAAATACATATGAAACATCCATGACTTGAGTACAAATGCTGGTATTCATCACACAAACATCTGCCCCTACCGGGATTCGGACCACTCTAGTCGGTGACACCAAGAAACCCGGCGTACAAACCACTCGGCCACGGAGGTCGTCGAAATAATATATCATTGCGTAGCATTGTTTCTTTTCGGTCGCATATGAGTGCAAATATTAATGGCTTTACTTCAGTTGTTACTGTTTATAGCGCCATGAATGTACGAGTAGAAGAATGCAAAGGCCATAAAAAGACTGGACATTGTTTGCACCAAGATGTTATAGTCCTTACACTTCAGATCACACAGTTGTCTTGTTTAGTTGTGGCACATTTTTACGGCTCCTTCTACAGAACTTACCTATCTAAGGTCCAGGACACGAATTCATAACAAATCGTGTTTCATTTGGTGTTTGCATACAACATGGTTGTTTCTGTGGTTTCACTAGTTGGACCAACAATCAAGGTCGCGGGAAGCCGATGGATGCGAGTGGCGCAGGACCTGTGAAGAGAACTTTGGGGGTAGCCTATGCTAAGCAGTAGGTGTCGTTCAGCTGACATGATTATGATGACCATCAGAGAAATAACGCACATTTATGAAGTTTTCAAACCATGCAATGGGACGTTAGTCTTGTAATGCATTGTAAACTTAAAGCTAATCCTAGGTTTTTTTTTCAGTTCTTGACAATTGTGAACGACAAAAATTTTACCCTACATTGCTAATTGTGCACATGCGTTAGAGGAAAAGAGTATAAGGCTGAGAATTATCATTATCACCTTTATAAAAACGATATTTTTCGTAGAACTCCCAGCTCTGTACTTTGAAAAAAAAATATAATTTCATAGAATTCTCCACTTTACTGTTTTCCGCACATTATTATTTTTATGTAAAATGGCCCATTTAACAAGAATAGATAAATAATTCTTTTGTTTCAGGAAAAGAGGGAAGTTCGAGACTTCCGCAAATATACATCGAGAAGAAGAGGCTGATACCAGCTGAATATTTCACCAACGAAAGATATAAATGATAGCCACATAGTTTTATAAAGAAAGCAAAATTTAAATATTGATATTATAAATAAGCGAATCTTACTTAGCTCTACTGAGTATTTTAAAATTTAGGCAAATTACTATTAAAAGAATGTCAATTAATTCTATTTATTCTATAGAGCAATACGACCGATGCGGCCAGGAAGGGAGTAGCCATAGAGACAATACTACTGAAATCATTCTGCCACCTTTTGCGGGGAGAGGAATAGGCACACAAATTCAGACTAACATACATTCGCAAAAAACTCACATATCAAAAATGGCACAATACACAGCCAAATCCTGTATACATATTTAATTTTTTGTGTACAAATAAGTCACGACTCCCATTTTGACACGTTCTTTACGTCAGAAGGGCTTGACTCCAATTTATCGACATCGCAAAATCGATGATTTGGGAAATCGCCATTACCACAATAAGGTGGAGGGAATATTAGTAAACATATTAGGAATGCGTATTAAATTCGTCAACAGCAATGACAATGAAGGAATGAACTTTAATATTTAGTATGTCTGAAAAAAGATTTAAACTTTATTAAAACTGCCATAACGCCTTGTTTTATTAGATTAATATTATATAAATTTACACTAGGTTATAATATTCACTTCATTGGACATTGTATGGAGGTTGAAGTTTTCTGCAGAGAGTTATTTAGAACTAACAATGGAACTAAGAGCTTCTGATTTTTGTTACCAATTAAAGCAAAAGCTGCTTAAGCCGGATTGGCGAGAATTAGATACCAAGAGTGCAATAATATTGACGCCATTATTTGAGAAAATAACGTTATTGTTCATATATATTTCTGTTTATTTCAACACAAAGCACAGTTTAGTATGATCAAAAATATCATATAATCGTTACCCATAAATAAACATAAAAAAGTGCTACAATTATGGAAATTTAGACAATGATTTGGGGTCCGTAGCTACAAATTCATATAATTTTCAGAAAATCTTTAATAAGTAAAACTACTATGGTGATATGATAATAAATTAATATTTGCAAATACATATTTGTAATTGTAATAACATTTGGTGGGAATTATGGGCCGTTTTTAATAGTTCAGTATGTATATCTGAAAAGAAAAATCATTTTTCCAAACTACTTACGGTTGACTTGGTATGGATGGACGGAAAAGGTAAGATTTTCAACTCCAAATTTTTCAAGAAACAATGATGAAATTAAACATATAATTTTTGTAGCTTTAATATTCATTTCCTGAAATTAAAAACTATGGTCATCTCATTAAATGGGATAAAAAGTCTCTTTTCTATATCTACCTTTGTTATTTCTTATTTACTTACTTGTTCAAATCAAATTAGAATATATTTCTCAAATATGGAACTCTTAGTATGAAATTATAATGATCAACTAAAAACTGTAAAAAAATATGTACGTATCATGCATACATGCTTTTGGTCGTTCGTAAATTTATCGACATGTCACCACTGTAGACTACATTACTAAATCATTCAAAGAAAATATTAATATTTTTTGATTGACGATCCGAAATATGTACTGACAAGTTTTTTGTTTTGTTAAACAAGTCTGACGATTGAATTTTCACAAAATAATATTAATTTTGTGTTTAAAAGTGATTAACTAGAAATAATTATGTTAAAAATTCCACTTATATTTAACACCATCCTTTTGTAAGTTTGATGTTCCAGATATGTTTTACAGCAAATTACAGAACATTTTGGCATTTTTGATCTCTAACATACAGTCGACTTGACTCAATGTAGTGAAATATCCGAGCGCAACTAGTTTTGTTACGTGAGCTGGCCCAATGCAAGCACAACAGCGGGGGAAAATCGGCTTCCCTCTGCCGATTTTCCAAGCTGCGAATGCCTACTGGCCGCGTTGACCGTGTTGCTCTATGTTAATAATATAATTTTATATTATTTTTGTATGTGTACGCTCAAAGAGTTATTGTTATATTAAATATGTTAAAACTTTTTAGTCAGTAAGTGTATTGTACTATTTATTCTTTTTGAGAAATAAAAATTCGTCAACCTCTATTGTCATCGTACGGAAAGGTAAGGCATTAAGTTACCTATCCTATGCTACTATTTTTTTATGGATGGTATGAATGGATTAAATTAAGTAAAGCAGTAGATAAGGATTGATAAATAGTTATAACAAATGTTACTGCTTTTCTTAATTTCATCCATTTATTTCATCTACAAAAAAATAATAATATATAAGTATACCACTTTTTACTAACAATCGTTTTACAATAGTCTGTCTCTAAGTTCTATAAATTAAAGTCATCAATTTTAAATACTTCTTTGTTGTCATTGCAACAAACCAAAATCAAATGTCATACCGAAATGTCTTTTTAATAAATCGATTGTTCGACTACTCTCTGTGTTATTATTATTACCTTTGCCTTTAAATAAATAATAATAAAAAAATTGACAATAAGTATTTTATTGTGTTGTCAATGTTCAATGTTAACACAAGAGTTTATAAAATGAACCGGCTATTCATTTCTGTTTATCAAATTTATCAATATTATTGCAGAAAATAGGCATGGTTGTGTTCTTCTGGTGTGAAAAAAAGTGTCTGGCAATAAAAACTGTTTACAGAATGTGTCTGGCAGTATTAATTTCATATTTTTTACAATATTCTCTACAATACACATAGGGATCAGTCCTCAGACTGTAAGGAAAATGAGTAAAATTTTACTTGCTCGTGCAACCTGATACCTAAAAATTTACCCTCAGCACTAGTTAGCAAGTATGTATTCCATATTTTGTCCATGAGAACATAAGTAAGGTATGGCGATCTTTGGTTCTTCTACTAAGTATTTTTATTTATTTAATAATTAATTGTACACGAAATAAAAATACATAAAAAATACTTAAATAATTACGTACAAAAGGTGTGTATATTGGTTTTTATCAGGGCAATAGTTTTTTAAAATATTTTTATTATCATTACCTACTAGTGGCCCGCCCTCGCTTCGCTTCGTTGTAGAGCTGAAGTGTAGGCTACTATAGTTTTTGTTCTCAGGCTTGTATTATACACAATGACATTCTTCTTATACCTAATTCGAGTACAATAGGCACGCGCCGCCAGACCCCCCGCCCGGTAGCGTCGGAACCGCTATGTCCCTGCATTTTAAAATCTGTAATATCTTTGAAAATAATCATTTTAATTATATGCTTTAAAGGGCCAAATTGATCTGTATTATATACACAATGTATTTAAGGTACTTAATTGGTTAAGGATGAATATTATATTGCTGAAAATCGCTTCGTAAATAAGCTATTATTTCTTGTAAAAAGTATAGAATAAAAATTGTTATTTTGAGTTATCCCTAAGAGATAGACATATACTTTCGCGGACCTTTTTGTAGACCTTTTTAAGGTGACAATACTGTAGTAGTACATTATTTTGATCTATTTTGTAGGGTTTTCAGCCAGCGTTTGAAATGTAAGCGCAAAAAATGTGTTTATTTACGACCTTACATTAAAAACCTCTAAAATTATCAGTGTTTCTCTACTATATTATGCATGTATTATACATATAAACCTTCTTCTTGAATTACTCTATCTATTAAAAGAAATTGCATTAAAATCCGTTGCGTAGTTTTAAAGATCTAAGCATACATAGGGACATATCGACAGACGGCGAGAAGCGACTTTGCTTTATACTATGTAGTGATTTTTAATATCTACTGACAAATAGACATCAAAGACTTAGTAATAGGTTTCTTTTGTAACGTTTCTTTGTTGTTTGTTGTGTTCTTATGTAAAATTTGTAAATAGAAATGTATATTTTGTGAAAAAGTTCACTTCTTACGATTCATAAGATACATAGGTATTACAGCACTCTGTCAGACTAGACGGACGGATGGCAAGCTGAGGGAATTTAAGGTCAGTCGAAACGAAGTTCATTGGAGCTATTATTTTGGTAAAGAATGAAAGACTTTTATTTGACGTCAATACAGTTTTATTTAGGAACAGTGAAAACACAAAGTTATGTAGGCAGACAATTAATATGGACTGCGCTGTTTCTATTCATTTAAAACTGAAACAAATGATATAAAAAATGTTAATAACTTTAATAAAATAGCAGACATGATAACTTGCCAGGTAAAAATAAAAGAAAATTTTACTAAAAACATCACTCGGTCCAGGTTTTACATGGGAATCATACCTCCATCTTCCGCTATTAGGGTAGGTGCACTAAATACTCGGATAGCGATAGGTTGATGCTGTTCGAATACCGTCTGAACTTTGACCGAGTGGATTTTTTCTAGCAAAATTTTCTTTAGATTTAATCATGTAGCAGTTAAATGCTTAAAATAAAAATATAAAAAAGGACATTATTTAAATGATCATTTACTATTTGTTCGAAGATCTTTTATTTAAGAGCCGTAAATAAATCCTTAAACCAGATTACAGCGCCCTCTATTGGGTATAGTTGTACTAAGTATAGTTTACTTAAAATTTCTATATTTTTTTAAATGGAAACATTTGATGTAGTATGATAAAACTTAAAAAAAGATGGACGAAATCAATTTACCGTTTTTATATGGTGTGACCAAGGGAAATATAGGTATTCATTTTCATAGATGAAGATAGAAAATCTATAGATGGGCAATATTAGTACTGATAGTTTCCAATCGACACAAAGGAACCGAGCCACAAAAAGCGAAAATAATAAGAAACATTTGAATAGTGAAAATGAATGAAAATGTAAGTACTCGTACTTTACTCAAATTGACATAGAGGAAAGTTCTTTTGATTCGAACAAATATATTTTCTACCACCCATCGAAGGCATGTTTTTAAAAGATGCCTTGAATGAGTGCTTGTAAATATATTTGAACGATCTTTTAGGTATTCCCAGAGCTCTAGTTTTCTGTGGAGATTCAAACTTCGTGATGACTTTCGCCAACGATTCCGAAGTGAGTATTTAGGTATGTTGATTCAGCGGACGAAAGGTGGTTCAGATTCTCTTCAACCTCGTGTAGGAGACGTAGCCTTACTAGAGACGGATGAGAAGCGAATTAAGTGGCCCTTATGTAAAATAGAAGAACTTTATGAAGGGGCTGATGGTGTCAAACGGGTAACTAAGGTACGCACGGCGTCCGGGGTAAAGGTACGTACCGTGCAGAGACTCTTTCCTCTGGAAGTATCTGAACCTGATGACATTGACAGATGACATTGACAGTATGACTGATCAAATCACTGACAATGAACAAATGACCAGGTCAGGGAGGGTAGTAAGACCACCTGCTAGATTAATTAAACAAATGTAACCTCCCGGTTTTTCCTGGCCCGGAGTATGTGATGAAACCGATATCCATAGTTCCTGACCATGGATGATCCTTTGTTGCCTAGCAATAGTAGTTTATAATTTTGCTATTTTTTAATGTCAATTGTGTACTAATTATTAAAAGATTCGATTCCGCAAGATTCCACCTTTTTATTTTCCAAGAGCAGGGTTATGTCAGACTCTTACTGTCTAAAAACCACCTAAGGAGGCCTCTAGCCGGGACGGTTTTCAAGGCGATATCGGAAGCGTTCACACCCTGGGAGGGGATGACGCAAAGCCTATTTGGTCAGCGAGAGTCTACCGTACCGTACCTCTACCGTAGAATTTGAGTACAATTGAGTCATTATTTATGTTATTGTATTAATAATATTGTTTGTTTCAAGAGAGTAGGTATAAACCGATTAAATTAGACATATTATCGGGAGGTCACATTGATAAACGAATTGAGGCAGTAACTCAAGCAACGCACGTAATGATTTTAGAGTAAGTTAAAAAAACTCCACTTCTCGCGTAACCGCTTTAGAAAAAAACTGTCTTTCTCTTTTAAATAGAGGAACCTACTAAAGGTTTCTGATACTTAATATATTGGGGTATGATTATAATTAACTTATTATGCTTTCACTATCTGTCCGTCCATGTGTCTGGATATCAGCGGGCCGTATTTCAAAAACCTAATGTCTTTACAATTAGAGCTATAGCGACAAATCATAAAAATGGAATCAAGGTTAACATTAGGTTTCTTCCACTATAATTGCGTGTCTCATCATCATAGGCTTCTCTTTAGGATCCCTTGATCACCCGCAAATATTCACCTGGGTGTTCATAAGCTCATAGATGAACCCAACAAAATTATGAAGAATTTTCTTTTCCTCAAATCACCTTCAAAGAAATGTCATTAACGCAATTTTTAAATTTTAAAAATGCATCAAAGCATTCAGTCTGTTCAGTCGTCCTGTCTATTTTTTGCATTGTTTGGTGTCTCATGTCGATCACAATCTTTTGAACATATATTTAGGACCTAAGTTTTCACGGGTGTTGAATCCGCATATGAGTTCATAATTTCGCGATTTGAGTGATTAGCCAATCATCAGCCTATTAATGTCCCCACTGCTGGGGCATAAGCCTTCCCTATAAATGAAATAGGGAGATTGGGTCATGACCCACCCGCGTGCCCAGAGCGTATTGGTGGGTACTGACGACTGCAGATGCAGTCGGGACCAATGGCTTAGCGTGTCTTCCGAAGCACGGAGGAGCTCGAGATAGTAAATTTTTGGCCACCCATCCAATGACCGACCACTGTGAAAGTTGCTTAACTTCAACGATCGCAGCCAAAAGCGCTAACCATTTGCGTCATTGAGCTTTTAATGGTAAGTAGAAAGGAGAATGGGCAAATCCGCCTAGATTGCGCTTGACGCATTTATGTATCAAAAATCTTCTTCTGAATTATCATTTCATATGTGTGTTTATTATGTAAATATTATGCGGATATTTAAAATAATAAATAAATGGCTATTAAACTGAGTAAATAACCAATAACCATAGATAAAAGTTGTATCACCTGGTCGATACTATAGATCGTAGAAAAAAAAATCGATTATATTTCTTTATTTAAATATTCTTAACATAAAAAAACGAGTGTGCTTATGACTACACAACTGAAGTGAAACTTCTTTCATTTACTAGCTGTAAGAGAAAAAGAGAAAGAAAATGCGTGCGCGCGCTCTTGCTCCTACACTGTGATACAGACAAAAGGCTTGCACTGTGCTTAGATATACGGAACGTATTTGGCTATGAGAGGAAGAGAGAAAGAAAATGTGCACGCGCACTGCTTTCTCATGCTTACATCCCCCACTCAACTCCCGTTCGCCTCGCCCGATCACACTTTTCTTAACGCTTACGTTCGCTAGCTTACTCCCCAAGTCAAGAGTGCGTCAAGAAGTTTCACTTCAAAAAGAAAAAATAAAACGTTTATTATAATTGAAAGCATAGAACAATTGTAAATAGCCTGAAACATTTTTACCAAACACCGTAAATGACTACGAAATAATGATCATTCGTTAATTCGTAGTCATTTTTTGTTTTGAGGTCTTCGATGCGAGTTGTTTGATTTTTGTATGGATCGATGGATAGATTATTTTCCCCAAATCGCCTATTCAGAGGGCCTGGTTTCGAATTCCGGTGAGGCAAATGTTTGTATGATGGATACGAGCATTTTTACCAATATTATGATGTCGATTCTGGCATGATTCTCTAAAGCTAAACTTAAATTTAACAACAGTGTATCTTTGTCATTCTCTATACAGAATGAAAAGGACAGACTGATGTTAAATTTAGTTTTAAGTTTAGAGAATCACGCCAGAATCGGCACCTATATCATGATAAATAACATTAAATTCATAAAGTTATCATTTGTAAGACCTGTGTTGTGACAATGTCACTGTACCTACCAGGGATTGCTCTCTTTCATTGCATCTAAAAACTAAAAGGAACTTAATGGGCTGCGCAAAAGTGGATTTTTTGTCTGCGGACTATTTTGTTCATCAAATAGTAGATCGCATACAAAAACTTTTATATGTGTACTACATATTCACATCTTAGATTAAAAAAGGGAATATATTTTTGTTTAAATTATCAGTTATGTTATATATAATTACTTAATCATATATAAATTAACTCATGGTTTGAACATTTTAAGCATTTGCATTGAAAAATAAAACATTTATTAATCGATTGTGTAGGAATCGATTCCTATAGAATCAAATCGAAATATATACCATAGGCAAGTGAAGTAGGTAGCTGTCAACTTGTTGTCAACGTGTTTGTTGTTTGTTCCGGTGCAGTTTTCAATTTTGAAATGAATTTGTGTTTTCAGTGGTCTATTGTGGCAGAATAGTTTTAATGTTGAGTTGAGTAATCCTCCGTTAATAACTGTTTTTGGGAAAGAGAGCATTGGACTCGTTGATTTAGTGTTAAGTTACCTTTAGTGATTCTAACAGAGATATTTGGACTCTTAGTTTATTGTAATTATTTTTGTTTACAATGGCATCTGGTGTTACACAAGAAAACGCAGGCAGTATGCAACGACGTTGTATTAACTGTTGTATATCAGTGCCACGACGACATCCAGTACATTCTTTGGACATGCTATCCAATTCAATGCTTAATGTTTTAAGCTCATGGATCGCACCTGATTCTGTAAGTAATTATTTACTTATATTACTAAAAATATATCGTAATACAATCGCAACCGTGAGATAATGTTTTAATTTCATTCACATGTTCAAATAAATATAAATATTTTTGACTTGTTATAGATATTGAATGGGGGCATAGTGTGCAACGAATGCTTTATGCTACTACAAGCTAGTAACACCACCGAAGAAGTACCTGCACCACAATATGGCCATCAACAAGTCTGTTTTGGTTGTGGAAAATCCATATTAAGAAGTCGATCGTACAGGGTTTCACTACACTGTCCAGAAAGAAATATTATTCTTAGATGGACTCCAGCACATCAGGTATGGTATAAGATATTATTATCAATAATAAATTATTAAAATTGATTTCAATGCTAATTAAAACATGACTGTGACATTATTATTATTATTGCATTGCATGATTGAAATGTTATATTAATAATAATTTATTTAAATTGATTTCAATACTAACTGAAACATGACTGACATTTTTTTTTACATTGCACAATTGTCATGTAGTATATTAATGAAATTGATTATATAATAACTAACTCAATCATGACTATGGTATATAAATAATATATATAGTTTTTAAAGATTGAGTTCTGGATAATACTGCAACTACCTATAAGTATTTGCATGTTGATAAAAGCGACAGGTCATGTTGGTTATATTTTTGAGATCTGTATAATTTACCATATCTTGTCAGATAAATGATTTATTATTATTATTATAAGAAATATATTTCTATTGCATAAAATAGTTGTAGATGGTTTTTCATTAAATTCAAGTTCACTTATCTTTTTTTTATAGGTGTCAAGAATTTCAAGAGTTTGTGCTGCCTGTTGGCAAGCAGCTAATAGGGAAGTGCAAAGGCAACAGTTACATGATGCGAATCGGTCATCAATTGAACAAATTGATGTAGAACCAACAGAGTCTGTACCAGTGATCCCAGTACCACCACCATTTCCCGCTGGTCTATTACCTGTTCAGCGCTCAAGACCTGTTATACCTAAGATACAGTCATCAGTATATAAGCGTGCTGTAGCCACTTCATCGAGTTGTCTGTTTTCAGGATGCCGGGAACAACAATGTTTATTAGTACCCAGAGTAATAAGAGAAATGTTATTAATACATAAAACATAGAATTTTTATGTATCCCACATGTTGTAGAATATGTCAACATCACTTGAATAATGGGCGTTGGAGTGATTTAACATCAAATCTGCAAGATTTTACTGGTATACAGTTTGATGCCATTTTGAATATAATGCAGAGAGCAGTTTCCCATTGTTTCGACTTTGAAAATATTTCTGCAATGGCTCCTTTCTTATGCCATTATTGGCTGGGAATGAATGCTGAACAGTTTGATGAACTCTTGGCATGTGTACCAAGCTTATTACAGAGTGTCAAAAATCCCCGTTTAGCACTCTGTATTTACATAGTCAAGTTAAGAACTGGGGACAGCAATGAACAATTAAGTTCCCTCTTTCAAATGTCTCGTAGGACCTTGGAGAGAAAAATGAATATAGCTAGAAGTTGTTTAGTTGAAGATTTTGTGTCAAGACATTTGGGCTTTGGTCATGTAACTTTGTAAATGTGGAGCAAGTGGCCAGCAGAAATAAAATAATCCCGGAGGGATTGTTTGGTAATCCAATCTTACCAAATGATATTAAACCCGCTGTTGTTATGTGTGACGCAACTTATATATTTATCCACAGCAGCAGCAATTATCGTTTTCAAAAAGAATCATATAGTTTACAAAAATCTGATAATTTAGTTAAAGCTTTTATGGTTGTGTGTTGTGATGGATATATTATAGATTGTATGGGTCCCTATAAAGCAACCACTAATGATGCTTCAATAACAAGGCATGATTTAAATAATGAAAAAGGAAAACTGCGTTCATTTTTCCGGCAGGATGATGTTTTTATTCTGGATAGGGGGTTTCGGGACGTAATTGAATTTATGGAGGATCTTGGTTTTAAAGCTTACATGCCTGAATCATTATTAGATGGTGAACATCAACTCACTACCCTTCAGGCTAACTAATCTAGATTTGTAACAATGTGTGGCTGGGTGGTTGAAATAGTAAATGGACGTATAAAACGAGATTTTAGATTGTTCAGGCATGTATTTAATAACAGAGCTGCAACTCATTTAAAAGATGATTTAAGAATTGCATGTGCTCTGTTAAATAAGTTTCATCCCTTAATACAGGATCCTCCAGAAGCAAGTGAGTATGTAGCTATTGCTCAAAATCGGCTTAATGAGTCCAATCATTTGGCCGAGTTTGTAGAAACTCAAAATCTTAACAGAAGATGTGCAATGTTTTCTGCAATTGATGGCAATCATCCTCACTTGGAAACCTTTCCCAGTTTAAGCATCACTGATTTAAAACGCTTTGCATTAGGCACTTATCAGTAAAAGCAGGCGCGATCATATTATGTTATTATTCGATCGTCTGGGATATATTCCATAGAAATAAATACAGAAATAGATGAAGATGTTCCCCTTGTATTAGGTTTAAACAATTATCTGCTTAGAGGACGTATTAAGTCTAGACATGTTGGTGGACGCACCTATTTTGTTTACATTTTAGTCAGCCGTGACACCAATATAGCCAACTCACTAAGTTGTTTAGTTGGCTATTGCTGCAGTTGTATTGTAAGCAAAAGGACAGTAGGATGTTGCGCACACGTAATGACGGTAGTTTGGTACCTTAGCTCGGGGCGATTTAACGATACACATGCTCCAGCTACATTTTTAGATGAGGTATTTGAAGAAGGTATATAAGTCAATTCTTTTTTAAAAAAAGGCAATATATAAACCAGGATTAGAGCACGCTTAATGTATAAACTGCTGTGTTAATTGAACTTAGCAGAGCTTTAACTGGATATTTCAAACTCAACAGGACATGGTGGCGAGTTACAAAAGATTACAGTTCCACTGGATACGGCATAACCCCAAAAATATAAAATAAAAATATCACATTAATAATGTCGATTTGGATAAATGTGTTATCAATAAATGATTATCATTATTAAAATATTTTGTCTTATTTATTTTTGATTCCTAAACCTTAAATAATATTATATCCATTGTTGGGTTAACAGAGCATCAAAGGTGCAGCTTGAGCGTAAAGAGAATAAGTATAAATAGCACTAATATAACCGCACCTCAACAACGCCACATTTATTGAATCTGAGATGTTTGGAATAAATAGAGATAGATAGCAGCTCACCAACGCAACAGTTAACAAATATACGCTGCCCGTTGATAAGATTTTACGAAGTGCATTCAATTTTTGTTTCACTCCCAGTCCAAAATAGAAGACAAAAGGTCACAACCTAATTAAATACAGTTTAAAGTAGTATACCTAGTAATAATTAAGTATGGTATAAATATCGAATTTAATCGAATCTAAATATGACATAACCTTAAAATGCTTACGTAATTTAATATTTTCTTTAAACCACTACTTAAGTTTCTAATGATATTTTTCCTACGCAATATACACCTGATTCCCTATTGTTGTACACTTATTCCAATAAGACGCAATGAAAAAAACTTAGCCCAACTCCCAAAGTAAAATGACCATTCTCCTTTGATAAGTCGCAGGCGGCCGCTAGTTTTAAATGAAGTACGGAGCCCTTTGAGTATGATTCCAACTTAAATTTGCCCGGTTTTTCTAGTTCATTCACATTTATAATCTTTGTAGGTTATTCTGAATTGCGCGCTAAACATTTTCTATCGACTCCGTGATGCGTACCCTTTCCTGGTACATGAAGTCAACTTGGTTTTCCCAGTACTTATAAGTACATTATTTACTTACTATATAAAGTGGACGTAATTATCGCGGATATCAGTTTGCATTTTGTGTGAAAGACATAACTTGGTAAAATGTTGTTTAACTTCGTAGCTGTTTTCGCGTTGATAGGCAAGTACCTACCTACTCATTTAGATTAATGAAAGCCCATTTATATATAAAATAAACAAGGTTTGCCTATTTTCTCGGTAAGTCATTGTGTAATAATGATTGACAAAGTGAGTTTTATCATCATCATCATCAAAGCACAGGCCTTCCCTATGGATGGAATAGTATTGGACCATGACCAACCACGCGGGCCCATTGCGGATTGATGGGTGCTAATGACTGCAGATGCAGCCGGAAACAACGGCTTAACGTGCCTTCCGAAGCACGGAGGAGCTCGAGATAGTAAATTTTTGGTCACCTATCCTATAACCGACGACTGCGAAAGTTGCTTAACTTCAACGTTCTCAGCCGAACGCGCTAATCATTTACGCCATCGAGCTCCTCGTGTATGTATGTGTACAACCTTTAAAGGTCGCAGGTTTATAACATGAAACAACAAATAGTCCTCATCTTAGTACCCATTTTATTGTGATTGATACTTGGATTTATTTTTTCTTTATTAATGTGTAACTTTTATTACATCGCGCAAAATTTTCCATTCATATTTACATTGGCACTTTACATTTTAAATTGTTATTAGATTAGATTAGATTCAGACCTCATCTAAATAAATTCAAAACATCTAAAAACCCGCCTGTTTGAAATTATATTTAGTTTGACCCGTAAATTTTTATTTTATCAGCATTTTTGTTTAACTGTACGATATAACTTTCACGATAAGGTCACCCGGGGTTATTGTTGCCAGGGGCAAATTTAGCTGTTCTAAATAACTCGTTACTGTTTCACGTTATTTGCGAAATCTATTTACATATAGGTCAATAAAAATACTTTCATTCCTTTTTTGTTAAAACGAAACAGGATCAACAAATTATTTGAAACAGCTATATTTGCCTTCTAATAGTAGCCAAATATAAATATAATATCTCATCTTCAAAACCGAAAATGTTACTAGAGGTAAAAAGTAATATCCGGTTCATGATTTGGATGATGAAGTCGGGTGGGGCCAAGATTGAAACATAAAATAGATTTTCATTTCAAGTCGGTAAGGCAATACGTGTTTCAATATTGACTCCACCTTATTTCCAACTAATAAACCGGTTTTTTTTTACTTTCTAGTATGGAAGACATACTGTTATTATTATAGTATGGGAGCCCAAACGCGGATTTTTGGATTTACTCGAGCGCGGCAGAATAACATATTTGGGGAGCAACTTTGCACGTAGTTAAGTACTCCCACCATACCTGAGCCATCTATGTAGGGCCGAACGTCTAGGGCAGCAAAAACAAAATTTCAAAAAACCACCATGACTTTTGGTCGGGTCCAAATCGTCAGTCTTTTGCATAGGAGCTACTGGAGGGTTCACGTAATATCCCTTCTCAATGTCTGACGCGCTCGGTTATTTTTTCCTATATTGTACCCCTTCGTACGGCCACCCCCATATCATGCAAACCGCGGCAGATCAATATTTTTTCCGTTCTTAGACTAAACGTTACATGAACCCTCTAGTAGCTTATATTCAAAAGACTGACGATTTGGGCGCGACCAAAAGTCATGACCGTTCGTTGAAATTTTGTATTTGCTGCCCTAGACGTTCGGCCTTACATAGAGGGCTCAGGTATGGTGGGAGTACTTAACTACGTGCACGATTGCTCCCCATATATTATTCTGCCGCGCTCGAGTAAATCCAAAAATCCCCGCTTGGGCTTTCCTACTATTATGTCAAAAGGGTGACAAACAAGCATATGTCCCGCCTGATGGTAAGCGGCACCATTGACTATAGACGCTTGAGGTACCAAAGCTGCCATCCAGCCGTCGCCGTCCAGATGCCAGCGTGCCGTTGCCTACCCTGACCCAATCCCATAAAGTTTGCCAACGTTTGGAATGTTGAAATACCACCTAAAGGTAGTGTTGATTTTCTGTGGTCTTTCGTAAGGTGGACGTTACTTCCCCAGATGGGCGCTCCAATTCGAGCGGAAAATCCGCTATGTCCTAACTCTCTTAGCTACATATATTACCTATTCCTTCGCTTCAGGTATTGTGGCAGGCCGTGCCAACAGGGACATGTCTACTCAACTAAGGTTACGCATGCAGTTAATAGAAGACTGCAAAAAATACGGCGGAGAGGATGCATGGACAAACCTTGAGGTATAATATAATATCATAGGAAATTTGTTAGTGCTAAGCAGCGCATACACACATCAAAAAAAGTTTGCGATCACTTTGAAAAATAGATTGTTTTTGTGTTATGCGCTTACCACACGCACAAGCTTCACCACAGTTTGGCCTGCGCAAGCATCTCGCACGAAAAAACTGTACACTTTGTGCGTTACCACACGGCACAGTTAAGTACGCGCAAGCCTCATTCTTATCGAAATCATTGGCCTGGAAACAATGTTTCCTAATGAAGAAACATTTTTTATGCTACTATTTTTCAAGTGTTTGCTATTAAAAAAAAACATGTAATAACAATAGGATATGTACATAATATGTGGAAGTAGGTAGGTAGTAGGTATTAGGCATAGGTATTTAGTTGCAAAAATTATGTTCTTACCTTTTTCATTTTATTTATCATTCTTTCGTAGGCGTCGTTCTTTTTATTTCGGTCGGAATAATCTTTAGATTTACATTTCCAGAGTGCAAGCAGAGATTTGTATAAACTAATTAATTCAGACGTGAATTCGCGATTATACGTACGCAAATCTAGCATTTTTGAGTGACGATGACGAACGACCTCATGAAACGACGAGCGAGCCTCGACCCAAAGTACACTCGACTGTGGCTTGAACACTGAACGCCCAACCACACGCACAGAAAAGTACGCGCAGGCCGGGCTTGCGCAGGCAAAATTTCAAGCAAGTCGAAAAATGCGCAGGCCGCGCTGTGGGGTTGGCGCGTGATACAGTTTTACCAACTACACGCACCGTGTTCCGTGTACAAACCGGCCTGCGCAGGCAAAACTGTGGTGAAGCTCGTGCGTGTGGTAGGCCCATTACAGAAGACATTTTTGCTCTTTATTTTTCTGATAAGATTCTAAATTTTAAAATTAGAATTAGAACCTAAAATAAATAAAATAAATCAATTGATTTTCCATTTAAAAAGACATGCAATCCAAGCTGACACTCAGTCAGAAATCTGACTTCGTCAATATTATCGAATTTAAAATAGTTTTCACGGAAAGTTGTGATTTAACGGGCACGAGGATTGTCAGATGTTTTACGAGCCAGAATTGTATCTTTGAGAGAAGAAGGCTATTCTACGAGAGAAATAGCAAGCAGAGTTGCCATATCCCAATCCTGTGTAGTAACCACGTTGCAGAGGTACCACGGCATGGGTAATTTAGCTGACCGAACCCGCAGCGGTCGCAAACTGTTTTGACGCAACCCAACAATAAACGCCACTAAATTAAAAGCAGAAATACGGGCCGTCTCCGGACTTGAAGTTAGCACTCAGCCCTTTCGGAATTGCTTACACAAGGCTGGATTACGAGCACAGAGGTCTTGGCGAGCACCTTTGAATTCACAGGAATGTCAGCGACGGAGATTACAGTGGACTAGGCGCCGGCAAAACGAAGAAGACGAAGAGGACAACATTTGGCAAAACTGCCTCTTCGTTGACGAATCGCGAAACAGTACTCATCCAGATAACCAATGTGTCCGTGTTTGGAGAAGACCTGGAGACTCTGAAAGGCAAAAAACTGCCACTTGAACGGTTCAGCAAGGCGGGAAATCAGTGTCCTTTTGGGGTGGTATTATGATTGGTTGGATTGGCTAGGCCGCTATTGATGGAATTGTCAGACCTTTCCGGGTAAACCATGGGCACCAATTTGTACTGGCTGACGATAATGCGCCCACACATCGAGCTCAACGAGTCAATGCTGCTCTCCGAGAACACGAAATCACTAGGTTAGGTTCTCCTGACTTAAACCTAATAGAGCACGTGAGGGATGCTCTTAAGCGAGCTGTTTGGAACCGGTAGCCACCACCCCAGGCAGTGCCGCAGCTCAGGGAAGCTGCTGTTCAAAAATGGGACAGGTTACCACAAGAAATGCTGTATGCCTTGATCCTCAGCATGCCCAGGAGGATCTCCGTATGTGTTCGAGCCAGAGGAGGAGTTATTTTGTATTAGATAAACAACAATTTATTAATAAAAGGTTTTTAAGTAGAATTTAACTAGTTTTTAAGTTTGGTTAAACTACCTTTTTATGGCTTATTATTGAAATTTTTATTCATTAATCCCCGTTAACGCCAATTGGAGCTTATATTGGGGATTATGAAGTAAAAAGTTCATTAATCCCCATTACGTTAAAAATAAATAATAATGTAAGAATCAGGTACCTTCTATTTATTATGTATTGGATAAGATATCACTTATTGATTATTTTTCAAATTAAATAAAATTTAAACCTGATTACAATACTTAAATAAAATAACTTAAAAATTTACAAAAAAAAAGAAGTCAGAGTCACAAACGCTGGATAAAGACGCATCGTATTATGAAGTTCTTGCATTGCGGGTTTCAGAAATTAAAGAAATTACAGAAAAAACATAGAAAAGCATTAATCGCGACAAATTTATACAGGAGGTCCAAATGGAAGTTCTTACTGGGGAAATTACGATCGGGCACTCCTCAGAGAAGCTTAGGTGATTCAAAACGGATAAGTGGAAAAATCCCTTTTTATTTCTATCAAAGTTCAATACAATCGGATTGAAATTATTATTTTTTTTATGCAGAAAGTGTATTTTTAAATAAAAAAAGATATAACGTAAACATTATCTCTTGATTAAGTTAAATTTTGAGAATATATCAGCTTTTGCAAGTGATCTCAAACTTTTTTTGATGTGTGTACATTTAAAATTATTTTGCGTCAATAATATACAAACATCAGTTACGAGCAATTTGGATTTATAACTCAAACGCAAAATAATTCACTCAGTTTAAGCTGTTAAGGCGAAGAAACATGCGACGCGTAGAATGTTCTTAATGTGATTCTGCTCATAAAAAATAGTACATTTTGATTGGACGCAACACGCGTGGCGGGGCATCGGTTGGTGACGGGTGAGTGAATGCCTAGAAGCTCATTCGTAAATTTACGGTGCGAGACTGTACAGACAAAAACCGGCAAATGTTCAGCAACGGCTGTATTTTTCTCCCTGTTTTATTATTTACAGAGTTTCATTACATAAATGAAGTCAGCTTTCATTACATAAATGTGAAATATACAATAATTGGTCACGTATAATTTGATTGCTTTGTCATACACTATTAAGTACAAATAGTGTTTTTTATATAAGGTATAAGTAAATATTATACTGGCAGCACCAGTTCACGAGCATGACGCATGAACAACAAAAACTTGTATATTTTTATATAAAAACAGTTGCAATAATATGAAACTTGATATATTAAAACGACAATTTAGTATTTATTAACTAACCCCTATTTCTTTTTCAGGCCGCGAGTAACAAGTTTAGCGAGTGTGTTTTGAGTGAAATAGATGCATACACTGTCATGCAAATACGTAATGTGACGAATAATCCAGAGAGTCTGCACAGCATCGCTAAAAAGTGAGGCACCCCCTTATAATTAGTAAATATTGGTGTCGATTCTGGCATGATTCTCTAAACCTAAATTTAAATTTGACAACAGTGATGTCGATTCTGGCATGATTCTCTAAAGCTAAACTTAAATTTGACAACAGTGCACCCCTGTCATTCTCTATGCACAATGAAAAGGAGAGACTTATGTTAAATTTAGTTTTAAGTTTAGAGAATCACGCCAGAATCGACACCAGTGTATCCTTGTCATACACTGTACAGAATGACAAGAAGAGATTGATGTTAAATTTAGTTTTAAGTTTAAAGAGTCGTGCCAGAATCGACACCAATATCGGGCTAGGGCTCTCTAGGTTCTGGGGTGTATCAAAATAATTGATAAACCTGATAACAAATAATGCGACCTGGAGTGTGTATCTCTTATAATAACTAAAATTATCCTTTGATTATTTAAAATAATATGTTCTTACTTTTATATTTTTTAAAAGCATTTATGATGATAATCGTAGTTAAATAAAGGTCAATTATATATCTATTTAAATAATTAAGTAAAAACACAATATGCTAAGAAACAACTGACGGTTGTGACTGAAAAATATATATGTACTGTTTTCGTCTAGCCAAGCAAGTCCGTACCGTCCGAAAAAGAACTTCGTTCCGAAATAAACATTCGTGTCGCAGTATTTGCTATCGAACTCCTCTGAAACGGATACACTGATTCTTATATTTTTTGTGAGTATAATGGTAGGTCTGTGAATACATCGAAAACATTTTTAATACCCCTAAGTGTTAAGGGTTACCTTATCCAGATTTGTTTTAAAGAGAAAATTTTATTACATCGCCACACATTTTTTCGTTCATCTTTAGCAAGTCGCATTACATTTTTAATTGTTAGTACATAAATCAGATCTTAGCATCGATGTTTCATAAAACCACAGCATTTTTTTAAAGTGAAACTGAAAATTGTTTCGTTCGTCTTCAGCATGTCACATTTATTTTAATTGTTATAAATAAACATTCCTTATGCCTTGTTCACACGTACCGAATAAACGGGCGAGACAGTTAAATGTTTCTCAACCGAGACAGTGATGTAAGCGAGTACTCGGCCAAGGACTTTGTTATACGTATTGAGTACACGGCCGGGAGCACTGTTCGTTCGAGTCGATCTAGGATCGTACGATCCAAAAAGAATATTTTAGGCGATGTTAAACACTATAAAAAAAGTTGCGCTTGCATCGTACTTTCATAAAACAACACCAAATTTTTTTTACGATTTTTTGTATCAAATAATTACCCCTAATAAAACCCTAACTCTACCAACCAACCCCTATTTTATGGGGTACGAAGTTCGCAGGGTCAGCTGTTATTTTATTACCTTCGAAGGCAGACGAACGGACGAGCCATCTGATGTTATGTGGTCACTGTCGCCCATGGACATCAGCAATGTCAGTGGCACAGCTGTTGCGATGATAATCTACTCGACTTATTTAATTAAATACGAAAATCGTAAATTATATTTTAAAAGACTTATATATTTCGACATGTTAAAATAGAAAACAATGAATTCTAAACAAACTAATATTTTTATAAAAATATAATCGATCAGTGCTGCAGTCATATCACTCAGCCATGCCGCTACCTTTCATGGAACACTCTATTAAAGCCCCTCTTTTTTTACGCCCGACGTAATGGCAATGGGCAGCCTCCAGAACCGTATTCTGGAGTCTGCCCATTGCGGGAGAGCCCAGCCCAGCGACCCAGCCGGCTGCAGGGTTATGACAGAGTCTTACTGACTAAAAACAACTTAAGGAAGCCTCTATCCTGGAATATTTTAAGGCGACATCAGACGCGATCACCCCTTTGGAGGACCTGACGCGAGTGCTGCCTCAGTTTACACTAAAGCCTTGATTACACGGGTCGAGTTTACAAGCTACAAGCCAGCGAGTTCGCTAGTTGCTTATAAACTCGCCCTGTATCATCGAGTAGCAGATGGTAAAAAAACCGATGGCAACAACTCGCCCCGTGTCATCTGCGCTTAAGACATAGTGCGCGAGACGATAAGCCTCTCTTGAAGAAAACATTATATAGTACTAGGGGAACACGTGGAGCGGAGCTTATTCCATAATCTTAATGTCCGTGGAATTAAAGATTTATGTCTATTAAAATTACAGAGTGTGCGCTAAGAAGAGTCCCCTGCTAAGCTGCACTTTCAATTTTCTGGATAAAGTGGAGCCTTGTATTGACCCTGTGTTACAAGGGAGAATCAATGATTCTAAAAAGGCCGTGTCCGAGTTCGTAGACTACGTCTGTTTCAATGATGCAGAAGTAGTGGGCAGTAAGTATTTTACAGATTGCATAACGAAAAGTTTCATTTTAAGGTTCCATCGCAAATTTTTGCTATATTGCCATTCTTAACCCTTTTCTGGGAGTTGCAATTAAAGATTATGTGAGCTAAGGTACTACAGTACCCTTACGAAAAAACACAAACAGGAAAAAAAATGGTTGCCTGTAAAGTCGGTTTTACGGGCGAAGATTTTACGTGACAACGTCTTTTTCTCGGTAGAATATTTATTGATATGAATATAATTAAATTGCACAATAGGAACAAGGAATTGAATGAAAATAAGAATTGCACAAATTTTAACTATAGAAATATATTTTGTTTACTAAAACATTGTACATGTAAACTTAAACTTAACACGAGAGACTCATCGTAACGTTACCGAGCGTTACACTTTTTCATAAGTGACTCCCAGCCGCAACCTAATTTAAGACGTTGTCACGTCAAAACACATAAAATAATTCGCATCGCAAGCAAAATGCCAATGTCATAATGACAGACCACTGACAGTTACTGTCATTATAAGTTGTCATGTGAGGTTAGTTACGTGACCATTTAAAAAATCGAATAGGTAGTCGATGTTATATTTTACATCCCGTCACATTCCGCAACATACCTCACAAAGTCTCTTGTACATCCGTTTTCCACAATTGTATAACATCATCATCATCAACAGCCACTGCTGGGGCACAGGCCTACCCTACGGATGGAATAGGGAGATTTTAGCCATTGCCCACAACGCGAGCCCAGTGCGGATTAGTGGGTGCTAACAGACTGCAGAGACAGCCGGGAGTAAAGGCTAAACGTGCCTTCAGAAGCACGAAGGAGCTCGAAATTGTATATTTTTAGTCACCCATCAAACGACCGACTATTGTGAAAGTTGCATAATAAGCAACTGATACATGTGAAAGGTAACTTACACGACCGCAGACCAATCGCGCTTACCACTTTTTTAAGTTAAAAGGTTGACAAACAAGCGTATTGCCCTCCTAATGGTAAGCGGTCACCAAATAGTCTATAGACGCTTGTGATACCAAACATATCACTTGCACCGTTATCTACCCTGACCCAATCCTCTACCCCGTGGAGCCTTGGAACCTCAGGAACACAACACCACCAAAAGTTTTTTTTTATTGATTTATAGATTAATGTATTGATTTTTATGATAATAATTTTATTGAATTTAAAATGTAATGATAACAAAGGACATTGTTCAGCGTCCATACATAGTTAGCCTAAGAACCAACAATCATGAAATATTATTTTCTAGGTTCAAAATCGTAAGTAAATGACTGTAAAAACAAAGATTACTGACGGACACTTCTGAGAACTTAAATTGTTAGGAAAACTAAAATTTTTTTGAGGTTATGTTTAATATTCAATGAAACATAGGTCAACCTATGAATTTAGTATAAACTCAGTATGAAGTGAATTAATATTACAACTAATTCATTTTATTCGGTGCGATTTTAAAGAATAACTATTAGGAAAAACTTGGTTAGGTAGGAATCATGAATAAAATAAAAACTGTAGTTTTGCTTCTTATTTATTGACTATTTTTCACATAATTGTATCATATTGTTTTTTATATTTATTTGTATATCACATGTAGGCATATTTTGTAAATATGCAGCGTGAATGTGTATCAGGTGTTCTTGAATAATTTGGCAGTATGATCCTCTCAGGATGTTGTGGCACAGGTTCACTAGCACTTGGTAATAAGGGCTCTGCTCTTTGGTAACGTCGATAACATATTAGATAGCCGAAATAGTTAAATCAAAGGAAAAACAATCGCAAATAAACACACACAACAGGTAATCCGAAACGAGAATGCAGTTTCCGGTTTATTATACTACTCTTTGGAATGCACGAATGCCACAGATTACTACGAATGCAAACTGCATGCACCACAACCACAGCGTAACGAGTTTTATGCCGGCCCTTCACTTGACAATAGTTTGTCCTTGTCATGCTTAATAAGGAATGAAAAGGACAGACTGATGTCATGTTTTAAAATAGCAAATGCGAATAGCCAAGTGAAGTGCCGGCATTAGAAAGAAAGAGTGTTTTGTTTGCAGCGCTGCCATAAATTATACACATAAAATGGTATTTATTGTCTCAGATTATTTTTTAACTTTTTAATTTAGCTTACTTAACTGGAAGTGTCCGTCACAATCTAAATACTGATAATTATCGCAAAAAATATAGTAAGAATTATCATAAATGCCAAATTGGTGTTGGTTCTTAGGCCAATTTTAACATTGTCCTTTTCGTATGCTGTTGAGCATGTCATGGAGGCACATTTATATAAATTTTAACAACTTATTTTTACCGATGACAAAGAATAAATGATATAATTGATTGATTGAAATATAGTGTTAGTTTACTATTATCTACTATAAGGTGGAGGTTAATACCCCAGATGGGCGCTCCAATTCTGATGACCAACCACTGCGAAAGTTGCTGAACTACAACAATCGCAGCTGAAGGCGCTAACCGCTTGCGCCAACGAGCTCCTCTTACAGTATAACAACACATTCTGTTTTTTTCAAGATTTTTCTACATATTTCGTTTAATACCGCTGCATGGTTATAGATTTATTTCGTCACTTACTAGCAGCTGCCTGCGATACGGACGCCTTAACTTTGGTATTTTGAGAATTCCAGGAACCTAACATTTTTTGGGGATAAAAAGTACCCTTTGTCTCAATACAGGTCATAAACTATGTGCGCACCAAATTTAATCCAAATCCAAAAGTAGTTTTTGTGTGATTGGGAATAAAACATGCAAACACACAAACTTATTAACTTCCCCATTTTTAATATTATGTTTTATGTTTTACAGTTATTTACTATAAATTAAGGTATTGTAAAGAAAACAATTATTTGTTAACTTATTTAAGATAACATTTTTATACCTATTTCAGAACTGGTTAGTCAAAGTGCAATGAAGTGCGTAGAAGATAATGTCCAAAATATGTATCAGTGCCTGAATAGAGCAGAGCTTATGGACTTACAATCAACACCCATACCAGTGAGTATAAAAAAATATACTATCGAACAATTTGATACATTACCCGATAATTTGTTTAAAAATGTCAAGGCATACAAGTTTTTTTATATGAAACGGATGCGTAATTACACTTAGGACCTGCTAATAACAAGGAAACTGTACCAATATTTATAAATCGAAGATCTATGAAATTTGACTTTTGTTTTCAATGCAATCTTATAGATAAAATTGAAATAGTGCTTTGTATTTGGAAAAATCGTATATGTAACAGAAACTCTTTTAATTTCTTGATATTAAGAAAAACAAACATATATATCTCAAAAACCGTTTGCAGAAAATGGGGGACACTAAGAAAAAATACATTCTCTAACGATTTCTTATTTGCAAAAATAACTAAAACTTGTTTAACACTTAATAAACAAAAAAGTACCAGAGCGATCAACTAAATCACGTTATTTTAACGAAGTAGCTTATATTAGATTTTTGACACAGTTTTTGATAATTAAACTTAAAATCATCAAATATGCTTACTCACTGGTCATAGTTAACTCTATGAATTTGTTTTTCTAACATTTTACTAGAGTCTGTGCGGAAAGAGAATGGGATTTAGATTGGAGTGCGCTGTAGTGCTTTTCTACCGTATTTGTAAGGTTTTACCCCTTTTAGACATGATTAAATACAAAAAACCCTAAGAAATCACAACAACAAACAAATCTGTATCAATACAAAACTTTGACGTTTTACAGATTGCTGGGTTTGATTGCCAAATAAAAATCTTAAAGTTCCGTTTTTCGCCACGCCCATTCTCTTTCCGCACAGACTCTAACCAGAACTGAGTCAAAAAGATACCAATTAACCACCACAGACCTTTATTGAAATAGACGCCGCATGTACTTCAAATTGTATGGAAACTGAGAGTGTCAGATTTTGAGTAGTCATGAAAAAAAAAATAGTGGTAAAAAAGCATGGGCCCCGGTCACCTATTTCAATAGAGAATAAATACATGCTTTTTTTTAAATTTATTTTTATCTAATAGTTTACATTTCCTTTAAACAGTTTAAAAAATATATTTATAGGCATTAAAACGCTCCCTATTTTTAAAAGGCTTGGGCGTGATGTCACAGTTCATATCAACAACTTACAAACTAGATCAATGACCTCACAAGATACTGACAGTTTGCGTTCCATAGCTTCACTGCGGATTAAAGTTGGAACCTACGTTAATCGAATAGACATAACTTTTCATACATTTTTTGTAAACATTTAAAAGTCAGGAGTGAAAAGTTGCGCTCGGTGTCTTGGTGTGGAACGCGGCCTTGACAACTATGCAATGGCACTTTAATCTCGTTGACAATGACATATCCTGTGAACGTCACGTATGTTTGCTGGTTAAAATTCTGTTCAATAAAAATTCATTAAAAGAACGACTTTTCCATTAAAGTTTAGGTAATAGCAAAAACTTATTTAACATTAATTTGACAAAACTGGTATCAAGTCACAAGAGTGATATTTTTTTGCGATTTTTTTAAATGTACTTTTAATAAAGTTAGGCACCATTATGTACATGTCCAAGGTATGCTGCATGCCAAACTACTATAAACAATATTTTAAATTACCAATTTATTTTAAGAAACCTAATTTCTTCAAGCAGACGCTATTTTTTTCGTTTGGAGAAGTAGCCATAACTGAAATACAACTCTCTTTCATGTATTAGGAAAATGATAAAAATTAAAAATCATTTAATTGAATTTTTAACTAAATATTTGGCTTTGGGCAAGCATTCTATACATATAAAATACTAGAAGCCCGCCTTCGTTTTGCTTCGGTGTAGAGCTGTAGTATAGACTAGTTTTTGTTCAAAGGCTTGTATTATACACAATGACCTTTTTCATATTAATTATAAACCTTCCATTCCAAGTAAAAACATTGCTCTGCTGTTCCGATTTAAAAAAAATATTTTTGTATTGGATAGTGCATTTATCGAGGAAGGATATATGTATATTACCAGGCTACGACCAGTAGCAGCTGAGCATCGATGAAAAATGTTGCAAAAACGTGTAAAAATATGTGGTTTATTCCATTTGTGAAATTCCGTTGCGTGCGCTGGGTAAATGTTACACAAAAATAATGTATGACGGAAATCTTTCTCTTTAAAAGTTCTGTAAAAAAGCCCACGACAGCCTATGTCTACTTACTATAAACCTTTTTCTTCAAATTAATGCGGGTTAAACCGCAGGGTACCTCTAGTTGTGACATAAATCTAATAGTTAGACATATTAGGTATCGCGGACTTTTTTGTAAATATTGGTATCCTCTATAAAACTTTAGTACATTGCTTTGCTCTATTGTCAATGACTTCCGCAGCGTATGCGATATAAGGAATTTTTTTGGTATTTTTTACACACGTTGGGTTACATTATCGAATCGGTCATAGGATGGGTGACCAAAAACATATTATCTCGAGCTTCTCCGTGCTTCGGAAGGTATGTTAATAATGCGTTAAGCCGTTGGACTCAGCTGCATCTTCAGTCGTCAGCACCAACCAATCCGCACTGTGTCTACGTGGTGGGTCACGGCCCAATCTTCTTATTCCATCCATAGGAAAGGCGTGTGCCCCAGTAGTGGGGACGTCAATAGGCTGATGAAGATGTATGAAACTATTTCTACCATTATTCGAAACTCTCTTATTTACAGAAACGTTGCGAGATATTCCGGGAAGGCAGTAGTTGTATTTTGAATTCACTGAACACGTGTTCTGACAAATCTTACGCTGATTTCTTCGAGAACCTACTTGATACTGTGGTCGTGGGGTCGTATTGTGAAAAAGGCGTCATCACCGACGTTAAAGTCAATGTAAGTGTTAATATTAGCGTCCATATCTAACCAAATGCGAGCGCTTGTAAAATCCTCATGGATACCCAGCCAGCTGCAGAATAATAAATGATTATACTATGCCTCTAAGTTTTGATTTTTTTGTAAATACTTATTAAATCTCCACATAAGACGTTTGTACTGGTGTTAAAATCTATTTTTTTCGAGGGCTTCTAGTTTTTTGAAACACAATTCACCGAGAAAGAGAAGACATAGGAGCATAGTATGAGTAAAATTATATTTTATGTACGAAAATCAATTCTTTAGTTATAAAAATAAAAGAGGAATCAGTCAAGCATGTTTGTATGGAAAAAACATTGCCCGCCTCCCCTCATAAGTATCTGCTGTGGAGTGATTATTTTATTGTAAATAAAAAAAATGGTAGTTGATAACTCTCCCCCATGAGATGTTAAGTCATTCGTTGCATCATCAGCTGTGACATCTTAACGAATAATATAAATATAATGATAAATTATATTCTGTTACAGAACATATAAGAAGAAAAAGCTGCCTGACACTTTAGTGCAGTAAATACAACTGGTTACTGTTAAATAAATAAATAATGAATAAATTAAAATATATAAATTTGAAATACTAAAAATTTATTTTTCATCTCCCAACTCGGAAAGAGTATTTTTGCTTTCGATATCTGAGTGCAAAAGCCGTTTTTAACCTTTAGAGGATAAGGTAATTTAAATTTAGAACAAGGGTGCGGGTTCGAGTCCTGTTGAAGCCCTAATTTCTTGATCAACTGCAAAAAATAATAAGTTTATTATGCAGTTAGAAAAGGACAAAAAGACTTCGTTCTACATCTTTCATGGGCGCGTCTTTCTCCAGCGCATCCCTCACTGGCACATCTTTCACCGGCATATCTTACGCCGTCCTTTTATTTTGTAATATGCTAATGCTATTAATGTTTTGGAGAAAAAAAGTCTTACGATTTTATTGAAGTGAAAACTTCTTTAGCGGTGTTGTACACTTTTATACCCGACTGCGCAATGCAAGAGCGCGAAGCGCGACGCGCAGAAAGGGTATATTGTTTAACAGTCTATATATGTATGTTTGTTTCTTTGTGGCACACTAGAAACCAAACGCCTGGACCGATTTTGATGATTCATACATCAATCGATTCGTCTCAATCATGGGAGTGCTACTAAAGATATGATAGTAATCAAAATTGAATATGGTCAAAATTAGGCGCTATATTGTGACGAAGTAAAAAAAATAATTTGACAAAATATGTCAAGTGGTATCACTGTCTAGATAATCGAAAATCATGTTTAGGTTTCTAACACCATTTTTCATTTTATATGATTGTTTAGGATCTACAACGCTTTAAAGTTTCATATTAACCACTTGTGCTTTTAATTTCAATCTTACGTTTGTATGGATCTTTGTTACTCTTTCACCTAAAAAATACTGAATGGATTTTAATGAAACTAAACAGTAATATAGCTCATATATGATAATAGCATATATATAATAATTTATGTAGTTATTGAGTGAATTGGCCAAAACATAACAATAAGTGTCACATAAGATGGAAAAAAAATCTCCCATCTGCTAGCCATTTTGGCCTGCACTGCAAAATCAATAAAAGTTACATGAATATAATGTAGAGTGAAAATGTATCTCTTAAATAGTTCTAAAAAAGAGTTCGTGACACCATATATCTATTTTTAATGTGTAAGCCATTACCGCTAAAATAGTGAATCAAAACTCAAATATTACTTGAAAAAGTGTTCATTTGACATTGTGGGTTACCTACAATGCGAAGAGATGACGCTGCCTTGCAGCTTAAGGCTAGGAAAATTTCGACGCGGACATCAGGGCCGTGGTAGCATAATTGGTCAGTATAGTCAGTTGCCCGAATTGCGAAGGGTGCGGGTTTGAGTCCCGTCCGCTGCCTGCTTCGCGTGGATTTTTTCTAGTAAAACTTTTCTTTAGATTTAAACATCTAGCAGTTAAATGCTTAAAATGAACATGAAATGTATTTAAATAAAGAAAAATGTAATAATAAATAATATAGCTACCCTATGATGAATTAATATTTGAAACCGGTTCAGTTGTTTGACAGATTATTTGTTTTACAAACTTACAAATCTTGCCTCTTTATAATATTAGTATAGATAGTTAGGATAATAGTATTTAATTGATGAAAAAGATTTAAAAATAAAGTAGGTAATAGGTTTATTTGATTATATTTGTAAAAGATACTTAGCATTTGTGCTTAACAGTGACACGTTATTCTGTATTTTTTTATATAAAATTGGTAAATAATTGCCTTGATTGCACTATTTGCAATACCTACTAGGCTGGTAGCAGCACGCTTGATAGGTGGAAGTACTCTTCATTCGAGCTTTACACTACCAATTAAAAAGGGTCGATCACAAAGTCTTTGACCTTCTTTATGTCAACGCTTTAAAAGAAAACTACAAAGAGAATTATAAATTGATAATAAATGAGATTGCTATGGTGTTCTACCTAACGTTATGAAAATTTTATTATGTGCCTTTAGTTTAATCAAATATTTAAACTTTGCTTTGGTGATTGCATAATTATTTAATTCAGCGATCTAAGGCAGTTGCCACCATTGTCCAAAACAACAGGCAGGAATTACTGCTTTCTTCAACCTGCGATATAAACGTCATTGATTGGTATTGTATATAGGGAGATTAACAACATTTGAAGTTAACTTCTGGCATTTACATATTGGGTTTCTGTGAATTATGTAGGTATATCAAATTATGAGACTAGGATATGACACTGTATTTGTGTATATCACAATCTTAGAGCCGGACGTTGACATGACAATGCAGTCACTGCCAATTTTAAATAGTCCACGAATAAAAGTAAATGATTTTTATATTTACTGCTAAACTAGTAAAAAAAACATAAACAAAAGATTTTTGAATATGTGCTAGTTTACTATAAAATTTACATACATTATGTAACGACTTGATATAACTTCACACATTTTTGCGAAAATTGAGGCCCATCTGTAGCCTTGACCCCGCTGGTAAAGTTTCTATACGTCCTAATAAATCAATCTTTTAGACTACCGCAAGGTACTTAATAATTCCCGCAATATTAATTCCCTTACTGAAGTAACAAGACTACGGTATATACCGTCTTAAAATACTAACTAACTAAAAAGTGTGAAATAAAAAAGATAAATTTAAAAAATCAAAAAACCCGACTGCTTAATTATACTTCAAATAAAAACTGAAAAGAAAAAAACAAGTCCAGTAGTCTATAATTCTGTTAATAAGGACCAAGCTACTTTAACAGTCGCGACCCATTATTGAAAAATATTATGTATTCTTGAATATCTAATAGGTCCTGACTGTTAAAGTAGCTTTGTTCCTTATTAACAGAATTATAGACTACTGGACTTGTTTTTTTCTTTTCAGTTTTTATTTGAAGTATAATTAAGCAGTCGGGTTTTTTGATTTTTTAAATTTATCTTTTTTTTGTAATGAGTAAAAAATGTTAAAATCTCGTCAGGACACGTGGCCTGATCGAAAATTCGTAAGACGAAAACTTCTTTAGCGGCGTTGTACACTTTTTTGTAATGGGTATAAAATGTTAAGCTCGCGTCGGGACACGTGACTTGATCGTGTCAGGACACGTGGCCTGATCGAAAATTCGTAGGACGAAAACTTCTTTAGCAGCGTTGTACACTTTTTTTTTGTAATGGGTAATAAATGTTAAACTCGCGCCAGGACACGTATGACCTGATCGAAAATTCGTAAGACGGATGGAGAGTAGACAGCCGGCGCGGCGTAGGAGAAGAAGTATCCCCCTCTCTTTCTACGGCGCGGCGATAATGCATGCCTGCCCCTGCTGTTTCGACCGTCTGTGTAGTGGAGATAAACTTTTTAATGTAATATAGATTGTCATGTTTGTGTACGATTGCGCAATACATAAATATTGTATTCTACCACATAAATTAAACAAAAATTAAAGCAATTCGTGCAAAATTATTCTCTTACCATTCCAAAATGTCAAAAATGCACAACATTCAAGTTTTCACTTCTACCGGCACTGTCGGAGTGCAACCCGTCGTTTTTTACATTTTATGTGTGTCTCACGTTCCGCTTTTTTGCTAAGTTATTTAATATTTGTTTCTTAGGTTTTCACGCACATCACTCATTAAATAAAACTAGTTTTTACGGGTTAATGCACGAAACTTTATTTATTTATTGACGTTTCGTAGCTTTTACAGGCTACGTCGTCAGAATCAAACTTTTATTTAATTTGTCGAGCTACCTTCGAAAGACTTTTCGAACAATGAAATAATCGAACGCTCAATAAAAGTCTTTGGAAGGTAGCTCGACAAATAAAATAAGAGTTTGATTCTGACGACGTAGCCTGTAAATAAATAAATAAAGTTTCGTGTATTAACCCGTAAAAACTAGTTTTATTTAAGTTATTTAATACTTTTAAGTACTGAGAAGTCTAGATTAACTATAGACTTACATTTAGTAATGTACAAAATTTTCAATAATGAAAAATACGGGAAGATCGTATGGTTTAGTTTTTAACGTGAAAAATGATCATGGTTATTGTGGAGGGTCACTCTCACTAATGTAGAATACGCGCTTTAAGAACGCCGTAGGCAAGCATCTCATCGGCGCCTTTATATTAAAAATAACTCATAGGTACTATAGTTTGACCGAAACCGATCCGGTCGATGCGACAAACATTGCAGTCGTATCTTTCCATCTTTAATCAGAGATCATGTACCATTGACAAGGTTATTTGCAGGCGAAGTATTAGTCAGTCCCATCCGTTAAATTTATCTTTTGTTATAAATTGTAGCAAATTGAGGTTGTTAGCAAAAATAATAGTTTTTATTATGTAATTAGGTGGCTTACTTACTAGACCAATTAATTTTATGCATTTTGTTTATTTATTTTACAATTCTGCCCGCGCGCTCCTTTGTACCTTCGCGCCCCCACGTGCCTAGTTTGCCTTAAGGATAATCCGCCACTGCGCTTCCTTTGGATAACAAATACTGTACCCCTAGCATAAACCAATATAACCATAGTCCGAAATGTCATTGTCGTTGTACGGAAACTTGAACAGCAGCGCCATAACGAAGGTAACGGGAACTAAAAATCAGTACACATTTGACAATGACATTTCGCACTCGCAAACTATTCGAATTCGATAATGGTTCGTGCTAGGGGTACTGTACTTACAATTGCTTCCAAACTTTGCGAATCAGCTGGCACTTCGGTGAAAAGTTAAAATAAATTTAGGTGCAATTTCCACGTTGTTTATTGTTATTCCTTACGCATTGAAAAACATCAGTATTCACTAAACCTGTAAACAAGAAATCCTGTAAAACTTGAGAAAATGCAGTCATTTAATGAGACTTTTGAAGTAGTTGCAGTGTATCTTTCCACCTCCACCTAGGCAACGTAATTGTAGTTAGTGTTTCTTGTAGCAGTTTAGTATATCTATGCTTTGTTAAGAAAGATAAAAATCATGAAATTTAACATTTTATATAAAATAATTGAACACGAACTGCAATAAAAAACAACGGTGCAAGTTTTTTTTTTTTTATTTGGAATTGTGTAAATGACAAACGAATTACATACTGTGTATCTTAACAGTATCACAAATCTTATAAATGCAAACACAGCATGCAGTTTTATAAATATCTTAGAATCCTTTTT